ATATACATATACATATATATATATATATATAAATTCATATATTCATATAATGTAATTATGAAGGGAAAACTATTTGGAAATTCTGTGTCGAAATTTTTCAGTATTGTAGCTGAATAATTTAAAACGTTTCTTCTTCTCTTTCTTTGCCCCTTTAAAATGAAATTCTCTCAAATTCATTTGGCGGGCCAATTTTGGCCTACGGGCCGGGGGTTGCCGATGATTGCTCTAGGCTGTGTTTCAGAGACTGCTTTATTTGAAAGACTGTTTCCTATGCAGCTTCATTTACTTTCTATGTCATACACTGGTGTTGTATGTCTACATTTTATGCCGTATCGTTTGGGTCACGAAGACAGTGTTCTCGAATGTGGAAAGCTTATTGCTAGCATGTCATCTTAACTCGAAAAGCAGCCAAATCTCAAGTTTTGAATGAATTTTTTTATGAAAGTACTCATTAATCTATGAATTATTGACTAATTCATTCCATGTCGAAGTATAGACAGTTGTTTGAGTTCATACAATTTACATAAAGCCATTAAAGACATTCTTTCAATTCTCGAATTTCTTTTGCGAAAATTTTGCAGTCGGCGGTAAGCCAATATGATTACTGACGTGAGAATGTGGTCACGATTTCCTCAATGTCAAAATCATGTCACCAATTCTTCAAGTGGACTGAACCAAGTAGATAAACGGCATTGCACCTTTCGTTAAGATTATGTATGTAATGCAATATTTCGAAATGCTCTCCTCTTTTTGTGATGCGAGTATTTCCTCGTTGAATGCGTTAAGGTTTCATTCGCCAGGTGAATGGAAACTTAGGTGAAGTTGCTTAACCCACTATTGGTGTTGCATACCAGTAAAATAATTGACATGAATATTGAATGATTCAGTAGTTGATATAGTAAAATGTAATGAATGCTCGTTCGTTCTTGGTTATAAAATCGAACAGTTCTTCAAAGCAATTATAATTTCATTTATTGAGCCATCCCCATTGAACTTAAAAAATTGATTGTCATTCGAGTTCACAACATTGATGTGTTGTGATGTTCAGTCGCGATAACTTTTATTCTTGCTAGTGTATTCAACAAATGAACCATCATTCATTTGCTTAGTCGTCTGATTGGATCTTCAAAAGTAAATCAGGTAATTCAAATCGACGACTCATCCAACAACCGTGTAGCACACATGTGATGGAACAACTGTAGAAATATTAAACGGAAAGAGATTGGAAGGATTGAGGATTCAAGCGTTCGTTTCCCTATCCTTGCCACGTCCATTTTTGTTCTGCTGTAAATTAGAGTTGAAAATGGATCTTATTCAGATGACTGTCTTTGCTTTAACTTTGAAAGTAGCTCAAATGAAGCTGATGAAAAAAAAGAAAAGTATTCCTCGTAACTATTTTCGTTGAAAGAGCCATTCAATGATAGCTCATGCGTAAAGCATATACGTGCTTCATTGAATACATATTACTATGGTGATAATCGGAACTTTGTGCATAGTACATCTGGCACTAATGCTTTATTATTGCATCAAGCTATTTGGTGAGGGAATCGCGTGCGAATTCTATGCAATTACAAGCATATCTTTAGTAATTATTTACTTTCTATTCTTGTGCTAACTGTCGTCTAAGGAGCCTACTTATTATCATGATGCTAGCATTTTTGCCGTAAATATTCGATTTCTTCGCTATAGCATCACTAGCTAGTCGCCGATTTCATGAAGTTCTTCACAAAATCGTTGTTCATCCATTCTAAAAGTTATCAAAATGAACTCAGTTTTGAATCATCAATCGTAGCATGTCGTGAGGTTATAGCATTTTTCACGGTGATACGTTGTATGTGACGTTGTAATTGAATGTGAAGTCCATCCACAAATTAGAGGTATCGACCTGAGTCAAACAGTGACGAAATTTATTTGATATGCGGCATGAATGATATTCACATGTTTTCTTATCAAAGGGTTTTTAATATTAGTGATTTCGTGTCGGTCTGGATCCGACCAACTGTCGGAATTGTTCGGTCGGAATCCGAATGTCGGATTAAAATGCGGTACAATGTAGGGGAGTATAATGAAATTACTATTAACAGTGCTAATAATAATAATAAAACTTTTAATATTGTTATTATTATTCCTTTTATTATTATTATTATTATTTATTTATATATATTATTATTTTTTCAATTATTATTTTTATTATCATCATTTGTATAGTTATTATTATTTTCATTATTATCTGTATTATTATTATGATTATTATTATTATTATAACAATAAGAATAGTAATAAAATATTTTGTTTTCATTAATTCAATCAATCACGCGGTTTGTTCTTGTTTGCCTGACTACTATCATGATCACCACCATCTTTAAGAGAACATCTTGAGAACAGTGGTGTATGTAATGATGATGCTATAGCAAGTTTCCAACAACGGGTTCGAATAATCAATTCGTTTGTTGCTCATCTTCTCATTTCATTTCCTCCAACTACCAACCAAACTACCAACTATTTAACTGCACTTCCAATCAACATTCACTTCTCATTGATCGTTCTCGTTTGCGTTTTAACTCCTCTACATACTTCTCATTCCGTTATCTTATCATTTATTCTATCAATCATTATTCTTTTGAAACAATGCTCAAACCGATAGTTTGCTGCCTGAACTGTTATGCTCGTGTCTTCGCTCAAGGATGAAAGTGTTATTATTTTCGTTGATTGATCTACAACTATTCAGTACCTTTTCAAAACTGACGCATCATTTTCTATTCTAATCGACAGCTGACGATAACATCAGGTAGCGGAAATGTTTCCTTTCTTAGAAATCCCTATTTTACTCGAGGTCACTTTTGAGTGCTAGTAAAGAAAACTTTTATGATATCAAAAAGAATAGTTGCAATGTATATTTCAAGGAAATTCAATGAGAACCACTTAGCATTTCATACTCTGTTCTCAGGATGTTCTGCTGAAGTGTTCGCTGAAAGATCTATTCTGAATATCTTTGTGATTTCAGCTGTGAATCTCCTTGTGCATGTTTATATTTTCTGTCAGCCTTTAATACGTTGTTCATTATGTCATTCTTGTACAACAATTAAAAAACACTAAAAAGAATATTTAAAAAATCACGATAATCTCCCAATTAGTAATAAATTCAAAACCTTAGTTGCTGCTTGCATGCAAAAGATTTATTCGTGCGTGAGTAGTTAAGAGAGGTGCATAAGAGTAACTTCCCTTCCAGCATATGTGACTGCAGCCTTGACGACGGCATTAGATTAGCGCATCTTCAACAACAGTATGTGTTTGATCATTGAAACAAATATTTCAAAAACTCTCGGTGGATTACAGTGTGTTGTCACTTGCCGTAGTCACTTCGAGGACTTTGACGTTATTTAATAAGTGGAGAAAACTTTGGGCGAAGATCGTTTCACACAGATTCGCTTGATTTCTGCAGGAATTAGAATATATTATGTAAATTGAAAAAGCCGTGATAGATCGACAATTAAATACTCATATTCCAGTGAAGGGCACGTGGGCGATCAAAAAATTGTAGGCGTACTGAAGTGTGCATCTGAGTTGGGCAAAATTGGGTTCAACACGAAGAAAAACAAATTGAATGATATACCATACTGATTAACAGTTGAGTCTCCAAAAATAAGAGACATTGCATGGTGCTGCTACGAGAATGAATTCAGGACAAATAATTTGCGAAATTTGTTCTTCACGCTAGAAATCGTTACAATATGCTACTACATGAGCAAAGCAAATTTGAAAATTCATCCTTGTGATGTCTGCTTCTATTGTTTCTCATAAACAGCTGATTGTACGTGATTGACAGAACGTCGATGAGCTTCTTTTTGCGTTATTCGCATGGTGCGCTAAGTTTTGCTAAGAGCCACAAAAGTCAACTCGATAAGCACTTTTCATTGTTCAAGTAAACCCTTAAGTCAAAGGTTTCGGATATGAATATATGAACTGTTCTGCTTTTGAGAGATTCATTGTAAAAATGCCACAAAAATCTATTCTTTAGTTGTTTTTTTTTTAATTTGAGAAAAAAACAATCAGTTTGTTAAGAATAAAAATTCCGAGGTTGTCAACATTTTCGAACGGCAAGTAATGTTTGCCACATAACTTCAAGTGCATTCAAATTCGTTTCAAGTGTTCTGTAACGTCACTGAGTGCTTGTCTGTGATCATTATTACCAGTTCAATAGATTAGTAATATTGTTAGGTTATTTACATTCTTTCCAGGTGAACACCTGCTAGTGGTTCTCAGTTTAATTCTATATGTACTTATCAATGTCTATGTATCTACTGTTATTTGAATTTTTCAGTGTGGATATTAAGTGTTCGACTCTTCCGTTGTTGTTTAAGAATGATTCAGAAAGTTAGCAAGTGATGAATGAGTTATTTGATGTCGTCTCCTTAGCAGTGCTCCTCAGCACGGCCATATGAGTTTAAGGTGAGAATTGGCCGGCTGCTCGAGCAGTGACAAAAATTGTGTCTTAATAATTTCTCACATGTCACGTTCACATGTAGTTGTTATGATGAAAAACGCGAAAAGATGAAAGAAGCAGTGGTCACATTAGGTCAAAATGAAAAAGGAAGATGTATAATAGCGAGTAATTGATTTGCAGACGAACGGTTTCTAAGGAAGGAAGCAAGTGCAGTGAATGAACTGTGGTGTGGGTCGAATGTGTATGTGTGGAAGGCGATAGAAATTATTGCCTTTTGAGGGTGGAAATGAACGACGCATTTATATCAACGACAAAGTGATGTCTTTTTAAACTATATTATAAATAACCTCTCTCGGTTAGAGGCAATCAACAAATAACCTTTTTTGTGTTTCGCTGCCATTCGATTCGGTTCTCAACGAATCAATTCTCTTTCTTGTATTGTGGCGCTATTATTGTAAATGTCGTCTATTCAATCAGCGCCGATTCGAAACTATTTATTAACATCCCGTATGGGTGGTTTGCCATTCTGGCTGTGGTGGTTTGCATCGATATTTTTATTGCTGAGGCGAACAGCCGTTGCTTTTACACTAGTTCATGATACTGCTGATTCTGTATTGTCTTGGCGACTTAAACGAGATTTTATCAATGAAACTAGCACTGATGCAATGCTTAGTCATCGCCCAAAAACACCCGAAGAACTTAGTAAGTTATTTTACAATCTTCAATCTTCATTCTGTTTGTGTTCCTTTCATTATTGTGAATATGACGTGCCCAAAAAATGATCTTTTAAAGTTGCATTCATTATACTTATCGATGCATCCGGCTATCGTTTAAAGTCATAATCGAATGAATCGCATTGGTTTAATTTATAGCATTGTTAGATAACTTTAGACAGTCAAATCTTTCAACATCTTAAAATCTCCGCACCCTTTCTTTTCCAGTATGCTTCGAATAGAATATTTTTTAATCGAAATAAGTTAAATTAGCGCTGTTTTGTTTACTTTTGTTGATGGGTGAAGCGAACCAATTGTTAATGTAGTTTACGTACAGGAATGTGTTTATTAAGAGAAAAACCGTGAACGGAACAACTAGTCTAACTGGTTTTTTCAATAGAACTTTTTTGACTGAGGAACAGAGCTGGCTCTGAAAGAAATCGCCCTCAAGTATCGAGCATTCAGTTGCGTTAGTGACACCACTGATACAGTAAAGCAGTCAACGTATGCTAATTATGAACTCAAATAATCGGGCATCTCAATGTAGCAAACAATAGTTTGATCGCAGAATACAACAGATCAATCGATCTACCAAAATTTCACAGGGAACTTGTCAGTTAAAATAGTTTGAAATGAGTGTATTACGCATCGCTATGAAAATGTTAGAAAGCAATGGCACTGAACTGTTTGCTCCTTTTTGGAAATATTCCTATATTATTCACATGAGAAATGTGCATCTTATCAAATCGAAAATTAAATAGAAGTGTTCATGAATGGCGATATACATCAGCATTAATCTTTTTGATTCAATATCATCATAGTAATGTGTATATTGATGAGTTACAAAAGTTATTCCATCTAATGAATAATCTACAACATCAAATCATTGCTTCAAAAACTTTGTTTCAGAGATTCCTCAATGTGAGGATTCGATAGCTGATTGTGCGTATGGTGGTAAATGCGTCACGGGACCAAACGGCTATAAATCGTGTTTATGTCCAGCCAGCTGTCCAGTTTGTAAGTTGATTGTTTCATTTATTTCGCTCTTCCTGGAATATTCAGGACCTTTCACACTGTCCAACGAGAATTATACTTTTAAAGAAAATGTAATTGTGAATATCAGTATTCGGGGCAATTTTCTGCCTATTTCTAACTGAATCGTCATGGATATCAGCTTCTTTTTTCATGCTTGTTTATCAATCTTCCATAAACTCCAGCGTCTCAAACGTGTACATTTTCGCCGTCTCAAACGTATACATTTATGAATTGATACTGTGCAGTTATGGCTAATCAGTCGTTATTGCACAGTACCGATTTATTGATGTGTACGTTTCTGACTGAATCGTCAAAACGGAACAAGAAGGCCATATACTGAAGCTGTTTTCCGAGCAGAAAACAGACATGAACTGCATTCCTCACGATATGACCTCATTTTGGGTTACTACCAAAAAGAAATGGAATACAAATTCCCCAGAAAAAAAGTATATTAAAGTATTCTTACTTTGCGATATAAGCACAGTTTAATCGGAACGTAAGAGACAGAGCGGTAGACTTTTTCATAGTAACTAATTATACACTAATGATGTAGCTTAGTGTGGTGCGGGGATCGGGGATTTTCAGGAGCTCCGTCCCCGACTACCCGTCTCCGTCTCCGGCATTTTTCAAGCCGACCACATTTTCGAGGTCCACGACTGGAAATTTTCGTCCCCGATTTTCCCCATCCACGACTTTTTTCCGTCCCTGCAATACTATTAGCCGGAAAATTTCAAGGACCTCGTCCATGACAAGTTTTGAGCCGACCTCATTTTCGGGAATCTGTGCAAAAAAAGAACGAACCTAAGTTAGGGCTTTCAAATAACAGTGAAAATTTTTGTTGGACAGTGTTATTGTTAGTGATCTAATTTTCAGTCATACTGCTCGTCAATGACCACGTGCACTGCAAAATAGCGTTTTTTTTTTGGCTTCCGTTTTAATTAATATTTTGGTCATTTGTTTCCAAACAATTTGCATTCCGAATCTAATCTTCATCAGTTGTTTTTTGCTTACAGCAATACCAGTTTCATGTAGAGCTGAGAAACATGATGATTACTGCTTATCGATGAGTGATGAGTATCGTGAGAAATTCTTGCTCCCTGAACCGGCATGCCATATGGTGAAATTTTGTTTTTGTATTTCACGATTAGTTTTCGTTTCATTTGTCATTCGTTTCGTCTCGGACATACATTTATGCCTACCTAATCAAAAATAATTTTATTGGAACGTCAACTGTCATAATGAAACTAACTATTGGCTGTTATTGCTTTTTATAAATGTCACTGAGTTAACAATACCAATTCCCCCATGAATAATGAGGAATAACACAAACAGCATGTTCATATTTCAGGGTATTTGCGTTTGTCCTCCAATGTTTGATCCATGGAAAATGGAGGGATCTGTTAAACTACTGCCGTTCAAATGTGATAGAAGTAAGATATATTAATGAAATTGTTTCATACAAATAACGTTTCACCTTATTCACTCATTCTCTAATCTAATATTGTTTTCAGTCTGTTATTTCATCAAGATTTCCGTTTTATATTGCTGTCGACCCTAGTTTGAGTGGGCTTCGTGAAGTGATTTTGTGAAGTTGACATTATTACAAACTGTTGACAAATCAGTGTGGATAATAGTAATATTGAAGGGGAACTGCGAGTGCAAGGAGTGGCTTTGCCGTCAGATTCGGTCTATCAAGGCACAGATGCGATGCTTTTTTGTTGCATCAATATGGATCCCCGAACTTTCGTGAATGAAGATGGTGTGAGTATGCATTAATTACCACTTTGAATTACTCTCTGCAATGTGCCATTCACATGCAATAACATTTATCATTTCTTTATCTGAACTCACTATTAGGTATGATTACTCATCTTATTCATCTGAGTGCCAGTAACGAAGCTGTCTGTTTGTTGCGCATTTGCTGATTGATTGCTCGTTCAATTTAGTTTTGAATTTGTCCGGACACTGAGTGCTGCTGATACTTTACCAATACAGTGTTCATCGACCTTCTTTAATATTTGTTCTAGATTCATCTCACAAACTTGCAAGTAACCACTTTTTCCATACGTATTCTCCTGACAGTTCTAATTTTCTAGAACCGTGGCACCGTCCTGCGAGGGTTTCCACATTATGTGTCTACACGTTTGCTTATTCTTTTTGCTAAAATAAGAGATCTTTTGTAAATTATGGTAAAAATGCAACTTTGAGCAACCATTTTTGGAATCAAAAATCGCCCTCTTTATCTGTTCTAGCTGATATCGGGCTGTTTTGTTAAAACCAATTATACAGACCACAGTACTTTCGAAAATTACTCATTCAGTCTTTTATAAGATTATCATTAATCATCAATCATTTCTTTCGCAATTATTTCGTCCTAGAGGAGTTTATCTTTAAAATGGGTCGAGAAATTATGGCCACCGAAATGATCATAAAAGTGATTGTTTTCCATGGGTGGTCTTATTCAACATATTAAGCTCAAACAGTATAGCTTTTGGGATTAGCTTAAATGAGTGAAGAATTTTAGTGTGATGAGGAAAACGAATCGACGCAAATCAGTAATGCGTATTTAGTGGATATTTTCCTAGTTACGAAGTTTGTGTTTAGTTCACCTGAAATATGATACCTTCATGGATTTAATGCACTCAATAATGTTCCATCTGTTTAAGTGGTGCTTCTGAGTCTAATGGATAATTTTCCATTTTACAGAAACAAAACCTGAGTGGAACACTTGGCCGAAAGGCTAATGTAAAGTTGAATTTAGTTAGGCAGGTCATCTTCTGGCCAGCGGTACTCTCAGATAGTTCCAATTACCAAATACATATTGCGGCCATTGCAGGAGATAACCATCACATTTTAATGTTTTCTTTTAATTTTGATGATTGTTTACCTCATGTTCAGAGTGAGCACTGCAAATGAAATCTTTTATGGTTTGCAACATAAGCTTGTTTTCAGTAAGGATCATTTTGTTGTTCATTTCTTTGTTCTTAGGTGGATTTTATTCAAAACTCATCAATCATTCGTGAGCCGACCAGTACACCATATCATGAAATATTCACGGACGGTTTTGAGCCACCACGATGTTGGTCTTTGGACATAAAGAATGCTCAGTTTTCGGATAGTGGCTCCTATCTGTGTCATGTCAAAGCGATGGGACGCCACGAAATGCTGACCAATTTCACAATTGAATTCGTTGTAAAAGGTAATATCATCGAGCATTTTCATTTACTCACTTAATTTCATTTATTCACCCAATATCATTCGCATTATTTATAATTTTTAAATCCGCCAAAAGAATCGTTTCTTTTTCACTCTTTTCAATTTTCTGAAGTGTTTCGTGATACTTTTCTGTATCAGCATCACGACTACTATCACAATTATCCATCATGCACTCTTAAAACAAAAAATTGATCCTGTATAACATCTAAATCCTGTAGAGTTCACAAGTTGAGACTCACCCAGTCTTCATCCAAGTGGATCTCTTTTTTAATCAGCTCAGTCTCATGATATTGTCAAAGGATTATAATTTTATCTTAATGTAATCATAAGTTTGTTGCTGAATGAATGAACATGTTTTCAACTTATATTACTGTGCCAATATTGCAAATATCTTGTTCGAGATTAACGATAGATTCAATAGTCGTATCTATTGTGCTCGTTGATAGCAACCTTGCTTTTTCGTATGCAATAGCACCGAAATTATTGGTACCAATTTTGCTTTTCATCTTTAATGTGCGTCGTCAACCTCACTCTCACATCTCTTTTGAAAGTTTCGTATAATTATCTGGAAAAGTCGTCATTTTTTCATAATCTTAGTTATTCTTGAATTCATATTCAATTTTAACGTGATATATGATAAAATGTCGATGAATCTCGGATTTTTCCGAATAATAATAAGTTTTGATCCATTTAAAACTTGATGACATAATCTCCTTGCCAATAAATTTCACTCTTAGTAAGCGAATCATTGGTAATTCATCCAAGTCACTGTGAACAAATTCACTTATGCTGGATGGAAACCGATGAGCAATCAATAAACTTTTAAATGTCATTTTCAAGCTACGAGGTTTTTCAATCGTCCTCACAGCATCGAACTTTTTTTGCTTTAATTTACTTTTGTTTAACAGTCTGATTCAAAGTGCTTAACGGGAAGGACTGTGAAAATTCTTATGCATATGTATGTAATAACATGTTGATTGTTCACTGCAGTGCTGTTATCTAATAAAATAACACCGATATCTTATAACTAATGCCACTCATAATGATGCACTGTTTAATATGATGGTTTAGTAAACGAGATGGAACAAGCAGAGCAGTTCGAACGACACCAGCATCAATCATTGAATTTAATCACTGGTCATGCTCGTCGAGATGAGGATGATGTTGATGTGAAAATGTCCTTATTCTCGTCGTTATCAGAGCCACTTGCCACAACAATATCATCACCTTTTTATCCAGAACATATGCTAACGCTTAACACGATTAATAAAATGTTCGTCACGAATCAAACTAATCCGTATTATAATAACACGCTAATCACTTCCAAAGCTAATAACGCTGATAGAAAACGATACGCAAATGCATATATGGAATCAGTGTGTGAGTTATATTTCTTTTATTTTGTTTATCTGCAAGCCATCATATCATTCAGTAGCAGTATATCTATGTATCTGCTCGTATGCTTCTAGTTGCATCGCATGCGATTATATGGCTCCATCTTTAAGAAATCTAATCAAACGCATGCTCTGTCTAATTGTAAGCTTTCTTAATTTACTTAAATGACTGCCAACCCTCAATATCACCAACGAACGATTTTCTCCAGTGATATCCTTTATTTCATAAGACTTTCTGCAACTGCCTTACCGTCTGAATTCGAAAAGTGCAATCCTCACATCATTGCTAAGAAACATTCATCGAGACTGATGATGAGTTATTACTGATGATGAATTATGAATTATTGAACAGTCCAGCCGCTAAGAGTTGCGCTTCGTTAATCGACCTTAACGAATTACGCATTTTGGTGTATTTGTATCGTTTTTCAGTTGTTGTTTCTTTCAGTTGTGTTTGCTATTACATTTTGTTTTCAACCAAAAAATTTGAATGTTATATACGTTGAGTATGATCGCATGCATGCTGCTTACCGTTTTATTATAACGCAGCACGGACGTATTCTTCTTCGCAGTAAATACACATGATCTCTGCATTCATAGCTTGCTTTTGTTAGCGTTAGATAAATGCATATATCTATTTTCGTCTTTGTTACTGGTCACTAATGAACATTCCATCTTGTTTCAAGAAATCTCTTTCGATCGATATTCTGTTCATTGAAATATCCCTTGTCAAACATGATGTCCTTTGAGCCGATCATAATTGCTATCGATTTGATGGATGGTCGTCATATTAGATGATTTGTCATAATTGGAGTTAAACGACAGTGTTGCAGTTAATTAATTGATTGCCTCACCATTACAACTATGCACACTCAGTGTTTATTAATAAGATGAAGCTTTCAACTCCTAGATATCGATTTCTTAAGCACTTTAGAGAAGTCCACGATAAGAAGCTATCGGATAGTTCGCATATGCTGAAAAATTCGTTGTGGGCGAAATTTGCTCATAGCTGTAAAGCATTTCTAAAATCTAACGTTCCTTATGTGATCGGCAGTTTTTTTTTGCTGATTCGCGTTAATATTTTTAATTTTATCGAGATCTGTCTCTGGGTTTTGATTTAAATATTGGCGACAATCCAGAACCGTGTCTAACGAAAGGAAGAGTAAATTGTTTTCCGTTTCGTTAAACTATTTGTAATAAAAATATTAGAAAGGTATACTGGTCATGGTTATTTACGAGAATTTTTATGGGTGTTAACGTTGCCGATAATTTTGAAGTTCGTATCTGCTTGTCTAATCCTTGATTTCGTTAAGTTCATCTTCGGATATCCTAATCTTGACTAATCTGGTTGCATCTAAATGTACCTACTGGTTCACTCGTTTTCGTGTTTTGTCATTGCATGCAACACTTTTTTCCAAATCACTCAATCGTACGTTCGTGCATTTCATATTTTTTTAGCTCCACGAATGATACAGAACGTGACAGTTAAAGCGAACGCAACTCATGCAGAGGTATTCTGGGATACGCAGGAAGGTCCCATGCTCAAAGTCGAATTCAGGTTAATTGAATTATCGCTATAACATCTCAAAGACAGTCACTTATTAGCAATTTATTTTCACGTTTAGCGCATTCCTTCATAATGTTTATAATGATACATTAAGTTGTCATTAATAGTAATCGATTGTTGAAAGTAGCTCATCATGCTTAGTGAAGCATTAATCAGCATTTCTCGTGGAACATATTTCCTCCTCTTTTCATTGAAGCACCTCGAAACTATTCATTGATATTCAACGTGGACGTGAAACAAACGAATTTGTCACTTTGGAATGAATTTTATTATCTGTGGATTAGTTGAATACGAATACCGGTTATCAATAAAGTGGATCTCTAGGAGCTTATTATGATTTTTCAATTTAAGGCTGGTACGACGAACTGATGGAGTTGAAGTTTGGGCGCAGAAGAATACAAAACCTGGTGTTTTAATTCAAGATCTCTCACCAGCAACCCCATACACTCTTTTTATATCCGTTTATGATGGCCAGAATGATCCATTCAAGATTACTGAGCAGTTTACGACATCTGAAAGTGGTAATTATCTTCAAAAAGATTTTTTGTCAAAGCATTTCCAATTCTTAGTTTTTTTTTTGTAGTTCTTATAACTCGTTTTGTTACTGTTCTCTGAAGTTAACATTACGATGGATAAGCGCTTAGGCGTTATCTGGCTGTATTTCTTTTTTTCGAAAACTTCCATAGCCAGTTTGTCGTGAATCCTTGATACGTGTCAGATTTACACTCTCTTTTTTGACTTTACTTTCAGCTTTATTGCATCAGACTATTAATTTATTTTTGGTTATATGGATTTTCATACCAGTCACTTATGAATTTCATAAGATGAACTACGAATGTTTCATTTTAGCTCCAGATCCTCCTACTCTTGGTGAAATTCGTCTGTTGAATTTAAGAGACGGTCTTAAGTGTGAGGTGGAATGGACGCCACCAAAAACTCCCAATGGACGAATCACTAAGTATTACGTGAGTATTATTTTTACTCATTTGGATATTCAATTATTGTTCGGTGAATAGTAGAATATGGTGGAAAACTTCGTTTCCTGGAGGTTGTCGTAAGAGAAATTATCGTCTTGACCGTGTATTTCAGTTTGAAGCATCATCTGTTCATTTCTTTCCTTATTGGTCATAATGCATTTATAAGCGTCAATTTGGGCTGAATCAGGAAGCTTTTTTTTCGATAAAATGACCACATTTCGGTGTCGTACACCAAAAACTGGAGTGAAGAATGACTATTGCTAACAGTGTTAGATGTTCGACAATACGATGAAATTTAGGTGACTGTTCGTGGGTCAGTGCGATATGTGTCACCCGGTGGAATGCTTTCAAATGACGATTTTCCAGTGGCTGAAAAAGAGCGTTGTGCCAACTATAATGGTGATAAGAGTGGCTTCACGAATGCAGACGCGATCGCCGATTTCTACTCATGTAGATTTGGTCCTCTTAAGGTTGTTTGTTATTAATCGTTGAGATTTCAATCGCTCGACACGTTTCAAAATTGCCATCAGAGATGAGATAGTAGAGAACTCAGAATGAGTGTATCGTTTTTCAAATATTGACAGATGAACTTCAGCCAAATCGTAACTACACTGCCACAGTGTGGGCGGAGAACGGTGCTGGTCGAAGTAAGGCAGTGGTTTTTACCGAGCAGTGTGTAACGAATTATGCGCAGCCAGATACAGTTGATGCACCCGCGTCTCTACCGCAGAATGGAACTGCATTCGGTCTATCCTTCACAAGTGAGCCAGATGAGACAAACGGACCCGTTGCGTATGTTATGTATCAAATAATTTCTGATACCTTCATCTAAGGCTCTAAATTTTCTTTACGTTCGTCATGAATACTGTACGCTGCAATTCTTACTTCGTTATCGTGATCCTACTTCAGAATATCACTCTTTGAACCAATAATATATATTTCAATTATTCTTGAGTTTGTTCAAAGTATATAGCGTATGATCAGCAATTTCGAAAAAGTTGCCGTATTATGATTGAATCTGTTGGGCTGCAGTATTATCTCGTTGACGAACGACAAATAATTTCAAGTTTATATTCAGTGATGTGGTATTCTGATTAAAAGCATTCTCAAACATTTTATGTTTTTACATACGATTGTAAATTTCTTGCACCGGATCGAGTTTGGGCACTGATTATTTAAAGTGAATATCGGTTTTGTTTAGATGTTATTATGTAGCAGTTGTTCCACTTTCACCGAATGTACCTATTGAGAGTCTACCTGCGCCAGATTCATTGGTAGTTGACACATTTGCAAAGGCGATGAATAATAATATCAGAGACGAACATGGCAATACTGTCCAAGTTAGTGATATCCTTATTGATATGAATTCTAAAAGTCTTTAATTTTCACCCTTGATCTGGGGTTATCAGCAACAATATTGCCAGTTTTGCTGATTCATTCGCACTTGATTTCACTGATTCTCGTGAATCAATCGTAATTCCACCAGGAGTCGTGCTCATAATTTATTTATTATACCTTATCTATGTTGGAATCTCATGAAACTAATCGTTGAGTTTAATACTAAGAGGTACGTTCATTCACCAGGCTCGAGAACAACATAATCCGCGGTATTTTGCATATATCGCCGAAAGCTATATGCAGTTACCACAGCGAACCTATGTGGGAGATGGTAACACCACAGCGGGTGTTGAGCCATGCAACGTTCTGTAAGTTTTAGTACATCGGAAGTTACGTTTATTTCAAAGAAATATTCCAACAGTCTGTTTATTATAGCGTCATGCATCAAAACTGATATTTGATTCATAATTTGGTTTTGCTACATTGATTTCTATCAGTCATAGCCAGTTCTGTAAAAAACACTACGTTGACCGTCGATATGAAATTTTCCAGTTTAATCGGTAAAAAAATTAAATAACACTGTTCTGTAGATATCTAAGCCGACATAGACCTGAAGATCCAGCACTACGTCCCGGATTAAAGTATACAGGATTTTTGATTGTGCGCGTCGATCGTGATGATTCGGTTCGTGAGGAAATACTCCGTCAGTCTGATCCTTTTTTCTCGAAGCGTAAAAGGTTATTTTTTTTCATGAGGCTGTTTCCATGTGTATCTGCCGAAATCTTCATTTTTTATCAATCCGTTTCTTGAAATGCGTGCTTCTCGCACAGAACAAGTACAACCTTCGTAAGAGATAAATTTTTCAGACGGCGGTTGCGATCATCAGATTTGACTGCTGAACGAATTCACGTAGAAAAAGAAAAAAGTAGATGGTTCAGCTACACTGAACAGTCTGATGCAGCTGGTCGATCGAGAGCCATGCGACAGTTAATAATTAGTGGACCAGCTTACGGTTTTAGTAGTTACTTCAAACCTGTACTTCTTCAAGCAGCCGATGGTTCGTTTATATTCTATCGGTTTCTTTGCAATTAGAACGGTGATTCTCAATCTGTTTTCCCTTTCGTATCCCAGAAGATTTTAAAATGTGCTCGCACCCCCTACAACAATACATAAAATATCCTCGCACCCCTCACAACACCCACTCTCTATCTCTCGTTCACTACGGTGAGTGTCGACAATATCATTGGAGTATATTCTAGCCTTTTCAAAAATATATACGTTAAAGTCCGTCCTTGCCCACTTTAATGTATAAAAAATAAAACCTTATACCATATCGCACCCCTTGGGGGTGCAAGCCCTCCCAGTTGAGAAACCCTAAATTAAAATCATCACATGTTTGCGTTCTTGATGCATTAGTGAACGATGCTTTGAATACTGTGTGATGATAGCTTTTTGTTCCCATTTCTGTTATTGGCTCTCTGTTGTTGATCATCTTATGCCAGCTTTAGGGAGTATGGGACAGTCGTGGATATCAGTGTTGTTTATCGTGCTCTCTCTACTATTGTTCACGGTTGTTATTTTTTCAGGAGTTGTCTACATCCTTCACAGGTTCATTTTAGCATCGATTTTGTTATGATTCTGTGACGCTTGATTCATTGTGATAAGTAATTGAATGATTCAAATAAGTATTCGAATTTGTGCACAAATCAAAAATTCTCATGATAACCTTTTTTTTCTCCATGTTTCATTGCAGCACTTCATTCTCATCATGCGCATTACCTCGGAGGTGAATTCATTTGAAAAATATAACAAGTTACAGTGTGCAGAAACATTTTAAGCAAAGCTTCATGTATATTGCTCTTGTATACATCGCCATAGTTGCTATTCTCGCGGTCATTTATAGGCGAGGCATCATACGGCAGTTGTGTCCAATGAAGAAGGATCGTGTTCTGTTGAAACCGATGTTCCATGCAACACCAGTAGAGGACTTACCTCAAGAATTTGTTATGCGACATCGAGATAGCAATTTTCTTTTTATTTCTGAATTCGAGGTTCGACGTCATCTTCCTTTGATTTGATAATTGCTATTCGTTGAGCCGGAAATATGAATTTGAAAAATTCACAAATTTAGCTTTTAGTAAAGTTATCTTTTGAATGGTTCTCTGCAACTGATTAAGGTGAATGAATAAATTACATTCAAGATTATTGTCGTTTGCGTGAGAGATGCTAAACAGTTTACTTCAGGCATTGCCTCACTACCATAGAATGTACGAATCGTCATCATCTGAACGACGCGATAATGCGCATAAAAATCGTTACAATGATATCAAAGCATTTGATGCAACTCGTGTGAAATTGTCACAGATCGGAAGTGATTCAAGCTCGGATTATATTAATGCCAATTTCATCAAGGTGTGTAGGTGGTTGCGTGTGCATTCAGTGTTTATCATAATTGTGAATGTTGGGATTGTAATACGTCGAAAATGAAGCGTAATTCATAAATGCTGAACAGATACGCAACAAAGAAGCAAACTGAAAAATATCGTCTAAGATTTTTCAAAAGCATATTTGAATTACATCAGGTGTATAGCGAAAAAACATAAAGCATTTCTAAGATAACTGTTTTGCTTGCAGTGAACGTTCAGATTTACTTAGTTAGTGTTAAATTGGTCAGAATAATAATGCAATCGTGTTGAAGTTTAAAACATTTTCTTGATTTCATTTCAAGGGATACAAAGGCCGCAAAACATTCATTGCGACGCAAGGCCCTTTGGATGCAACTGTGGATGATTTCTGGAGAATGATTTGGGAGCATAACGTCTCTGTCATTGTGATGGTTGCAAACCTTTATGAGCGTAACAGGGTGAGGTTATTAAATAAATATGAATATCCACAAACAGTTCCGGTGCACGGAAGTCGTTTACGGCAGACATGCACTCAGTGACTATGTCTGCTTTTGTCATCGGCATCAACTATTCAAACCTGCTGATATATTTATCTTCGAAAGCAAAACTTTTTGCGAGAACATTTACGATTGCACTACTGATTAATGCACCGTGTGTCATCTTGTTCGTAAGAGATTGCATCATAAACCGCTTAGTTGGGTATCTTTTAAATATTCACACAGTTGCTGAGTTGTTTTCTGATGAAGTATTTTACATTCACGATCTCTGGGATTCTTATTTCGATGATAGCAATTGTGCAGAATTCGGCGTGATGCAACCTTATGCTTCAAGTCAATGAATGTCAGGATGTGAATTGAAATACAACTCTGCCGTGATAGATACAATCTTGATTATGTATCGATCATTCATTTTATCCGACCGTATGACCCCGAGTATAAACCCCACACTTCAAATTTTTGCTCACTCCAAGTTTTCTTCCTCTCATATGACACCAAAGAGCACATTTTACGGAATATTTACTAGAGATTGTAGGTTGCTTTTTTCGTATTAATGACTTTCCTGACGATGGAAGTTAACTATGTCCAGTTTTAGTCTCAGTGCTCGAAGTATTGGCCTGATGAAACGCCGAAAATGTACGATAGCTTAGAAGTGCGTCCGGTTGAGGTAAATTATTATTCTGATTATGCGGTGCGTCGTTTCGAAATCAGGCGTCCACAGAAGAGTGTTGCAAACGGTTCCACTGCTGGAGGTCAGCCTGCTGTTATTTGCTATGAAGCAGCTGATGTGAATCAAGATGCCGTCGCTGTCACCGTTAATACCTCAAGGTAGTTGATCGCTCATTTTTTAACCATTACGATACAAACTTTCAAAATTTTTAAGGGTTCCACCGCTCGAAAAAGTGCCTTTCGACCCGAAAACAACCTGTGTGAAACAACGCCTAAAAAGTTAGCCTGACGGGTCGTTATGTTAAATTGTTTCTTCACCTAAGGTGCTCTCAAGCGCGTAATGTAGATGGCGTCACCTTTTAACCGAATTATCTTCCGACGAACTTCCACTGCTGGTCAGAGACGTAACATTTTGTAGAATGGGAAGAAAATTTGAAGAAAGAGGAAAGAAAATTACAAAATTTGGATTTCGCGAAATACGGTGCCTCATGTGAAAAGATGATTCGACCCAGCGACCTTTCAAACACAATTTTTCAAATTGGAATTTCACACAGGTTGCTTTTAGACGATGGGCATTTTCTGAAGAAGTGGGACGTGCGGTTTTTAGAAGTTTATTTTTGCTACACAAATAAGTGTCATCCTAATGGCCATGTATATCCTGTTCTCCGTTGCATAAAAAATCTGTTGAATGATATCAAGTCATCACTCATTCAATTCATCGCTTCGTTCAGACGTTCTTCAATGCGTGGCTCACGTGAGTCGAATCTTGATTCGGAATATGCAAATGTACCAAAAATAAAAGACGCTTCGAGTCGTGCTTCTAAAACGAGTGCATCGCTTATTGCTACTCGTGATGCCGAATCTAACCTCGAATCCGAAGGTATGTCATATTTTTCTTGTTGTTACACAAATGATAAACACAGCATGGAATTCGTTTTCAGATGTATGAGTGTTAGGTTTCGAAGCATTGTATGACTTATTTCGAATTCCAACGCTTGTTTTAGGAAAGGGGTCATTCGCTACTCCTCTAACGACAAGCGCTACCTTTAGAGAGAATTCTGTCATTCTCCACGCCCCCCCCCTTCCCCCCGCCCAATTACAAATATGACGAAGCAAATTATACAATATGATGAGTTGATAAATAACTTTTTTTTAAGACATTCGGGCAGTTACGCAGTATCATTTCACGGCTTGGAACGATCTTCAAGCGCCCGAATGCACTACTGGTTTGCTGAGGTTTCTATCAAAATTACGTAAAATACCAGAATACCAGTCTAGTCCCGTTGTTGTTCATTGCAGGTCAGTTGTTCATCGTTTACTCGTTTTTTGCTTTTAATGCATTTCATAACTTCATTCCATTCTTGCAGGACAAGCTGAAAATGAAAACTCGTTTTCATCTAGGAGAAAGTAAATTCATTGTTAGTGAACAAGTCCTATGGCCGTAAGCCATACGATCTGCGTGTGATAAGATGACATCTTATGCCTCAGCATCACGCGCCAATGTGATCAGATCATGTGCTCAAGATCATGAGACCTGAGGAAATCGTACATTTCAGTGCTGGTGTGGGCCGTACTGGAACTTACATTGCGATCGATAGTCTTTTGGATCAGTGCATTGAGGAGAACAAAGTTGATGTATTTGGTTTTGTATCTGAAATGAGAAAGCAACGCAACATCATGGTTCAGAACTTCGTAAGTTCTTTTGAATGGCTCTCCTCTTTCTTGAATATCTCATCTCTTAATGATTAGTCTACTACTGAACAATTGTATCATAAGAAAGCCAAATAATTTTTGCAGGAGCAGTATATGTTCATCTATAAGGCACTAGCTGAATGGTATATATTCGGTGAGACGGACGTCGAGGTTGATCAAATTGATGAATATTATCGCGCACTGAAAGAGCCTCGTCGTGATCGACGTCCATCGTCAACCAGTAGTGCAGGTAATAACTCTGCAATTGCTGCTGTAATGGTCAGATCAGCTACCAAAGCAACGAATGCTAATGGTGATATCAGTGATACTAATAAGGGTTCTACCGAGTTAGAACGCGAATTCAAGGTATTTTGTTATCTATTCCTCACTAATTTTTCTTGTCCTGCATCATTCCGCATCACAAATGCATATAGTATTTAACAGTATAAAGAGTTTTTTCTATTGAAATAAGCTTAGCAAATTTAGCGAATAATTACTAACTAAAGTAGCAATATTACCGAAAAACTGACAAGATTTATGACATATTTCTTATGAGCATTACATATCACAAACTATTAATCAGCCAGATAGTGCGTTGGAGTGGTATTTGAAATTGTTAAGAAAATGTTAGTAAGATGCTTGTTCGCAGTACAATTTAGAAGGATATTGACCAGTAAGCATACTTTCAGCGTTTGCAATGTTCGTTAGATTTGAATCGCACTTGTGTGTTTGCACATAAACCTGAAAACGCACCAAAGAATCGATACGAGAACGCAGTGCCGTATGATCAGTGTCGAGTCGTATTGACAATTGTCGTCGGCAGTGTTACTGATACCACATACATAAACGCATCATCCGTTAAGGTTGGTGATTGTAATTTAGAGTATTTTTAAACCACCTTATTTAACAAGAATGGAGCTTATGACAATTTCGAGTGATCGAAAAGAATGAAGCCGTCAAGTTGATTCTATTTCAGGGTTATTTTTACCCGTACATACTAGCTCAAGATCCTCTTTCTGAACAAACCTGCTATGATTTCTGGCGTATGATTGGTGATCTGAATTCAAAGGCTCTGGTGATGCTGTCGAACGTGGAAGACTTCGCCGAATGCGAAAAAGTATTTATTACGTTTCCTTCTTTTCAACGTCCACTTTTTATTGTTGTATTTCATGAAAAATGAATGCAACACTCGCGGTCAATCAGTTCTTCACTTTTCTTATTTTGAATATGCAATGGGGAAAGAAAAAGTGGAGGAAACCAGTGGATCTCAAATTTGCCACCTTCTTCCCATCATCGTTCTTTCCTTTTTTCTTAGGCTCTGTTTGTGCTTGTAGTACAAAATTTTTTCAAGAATTGCATATCATCACATGAATGTTGTGTACGCGGTAAAAAAAGAACTCAGTTCTGACAGTCATTCCGTGTTTTATTATGACAAATAAAAAGCATACCGATGGTAACTTGTTCAGAATCTTCACCAGTTTTGTTCTCCGTACGCCAAGAAAATTGTTTTTTTTCGTCTCTTCAATTTCCCTCAATACTCAAACTCTTGAAGTGGATTGATTTAAAATGATTGTAATGCAAACGTTCACTGCTTTGTAGTACTGGCCAAGCGAAGTAGGACAATCGATAAGCTTTGGTGCCGATGGTGATTTTTCGGTGAAATTAGTGAGCGAAGAGGTGTTTCCTTCGTTTGTTCTCAGGAAATTCACCTACAAATTTACAACGGTTATTGATCACTTCATTACTTCAGATCGTTTAGCACTTTTCAAACTTAATTTGTTCCTAACATTGCACAATCATCAGTACCAGTAGAGCATTTGCGACTGATCATTCGTCAGAATGTGAATGGTACTGATGATGGATGATCTCTGCAAAGGTAGTGATTGTGAACGCATTAGTTGAGGAAAAACGCTTTTGAATTGAATGAATTTTTGAATGTAAGATAAGAAGAGTGGATTTCAAATGATAGTATTACAATCGTGAATGATTTAAACAATTTATGTTTAAAGGTATTGATTTAGCATGTGAATTGTTTCTCTTATCGATTATGAGAAATTTAGCATACTTCAACAGCCTCTCTTCATTGAACTCTCGTTTAGGCGCTTGTGCCCTTTGCATGATTTGCTTTAAGCGTTGATTGAGGTTAGTTCCTATTAGTCAACAGTTGAACAAATGCAGTATATTGACAGGAGAAGATGTATCGTGAGGTGATGCAGTTTGATTATTTATGCTGGCCAACCGGTAGTATCGTTCCAACGTCAACGGATTCTCTGATCGATTTGATTAGTAGAGTTTTATCTCTGCAAAGTGATCATCAAGAAGCTGGACCCATCGTTGTTCATTCCCGGTGGGTATTATTCGCTTATCTGATTGCGTTGTGTAGTAAACACCCTGTTGGCTACACGAATCGTCCGTTTTGTTTTCAAATGATTATATGAAAAGCAACCAAAGCTTTGCTCTTTTAAGCACTACCTATTGAAAGGAATTCGTGATTAATTCCTGAAAGTGTATTGTTTTATCGCTTCCGATCGTTACTGTCAGCAGATTCTCAAGTGACCTAAGTTAGTGATCAATTTGAAGGGATGGATCGTCAGAAACCGGTGTATTATGTTGCATTTCGTTACTGTTGGAAAGGTTAAAAGCAGAACATAGAATTGATGTATTTCAAACGGTTCGGAGTTTACAGCAGATTCGACCGCTTATGTTTACAAAATTGGTTCGTTATTTGTGATCAGTTTACAGTCAGTTATTGTTTCACGAATTCGTCTTTATGAAGGATAAGACTCGTGATGATGATGATCCCTCTGTTCGTAACCACGCAGAGTTGAAGATAGTATTAAGAATTAAATTCAATAGCATGACAAAACTGATTGAGCGTGCAGTTATGATCATTTGTTCATGAAAATATCAGTGAGTGATGCATAAATTACTTCTGCTTGCAGGAACAGTACGAGTTTTGCTATAAAGCAGTAATCGACTATTTGCATTCGTTCAACGACAAGAGTGCGCCATGTTGACTTTAGTTAGGATAAATGCCTCTGTTGAAAGGTATTCGTAATAGATCAGTTTTTTCTAATATGGATGAGCACATTGCAAGTGGCCTTTAGCGTTTACAACTTGACATCTTCATCTTCTAACACCACAATCTGACCACGCTAAAACGTCACTGTCGACATTTTGTGCTTTCTCACTTTGGCGTTTTCAAAGTTCACCAAGAGAGCCACCATCTGCGTATCATAATTCGATGGTCATTGCGAGTGGATCGTTCTCTTGTTGAGGGAGTTCTAAATGTCGCATGATCCTTAGTGCTGCTAGTTTCAAAAAAGTTCGAAGGGAATTGCTTCCTGGAAAAAAATTGGAAAGTAACAGCATATCCTCTGCCTGCACACGGTCATTAGGATCGAGAATCCCACGCGTTATTCGAATTCAAATTTGAAATGAAGTATTGCGCAAAACTGAAACCAGTTATTGAATCAATTTTTTGAATTGAATGCGCTATTTATTACTTTCATTACTTTTACAAGTTGTTCAAAGTTTTTTTGTTGTTAATTTTGATGTAACCTAATTTTTATATTGATAGTTTATAATCGTTGTTATTGTTATCATCATTGTTAATGTAGTCGTTTAATGCTATTTGAAACTGCTGCACTCACGTGTTCGTCTGCTAAATTTGCCAGCGTTTCGCTATCATATATGATAGCATTACAGAAATGTTTGACCCAAAGATGCGAAATAATTTGAATTGTTGTTTTATAAGAATGCGTCTGTACCTAATAATATGTTCGTCAAGCACTTGCCAGTTTTTGTGCTGCATAATCGATTATGCTCCCTCAACTTGTCGGGGGTTCACTCGATTTGATAATTGGTGCTGTTCTCGTTTTGCTGTTTGTTCCGTTATAGATGATTATTTATTTGTTTCTATTTGCCTTTCGTATTTGCTTTTTATATGGAATCTCAAATGATGTTCATAATTCCATTTTTATCGTTTGTTATCACGTCTTCATCATTTCCGTATCTTTGCATATGCAAATATTCTTGATATTATTGTAATAATTTTTGCACCGCATGACCAGTCCTGTCCTTATTTGTAGTTCCACCACTAGAAAATTGTTGTTTTTATGCTAGTCATTCATTCTCAATTTTCAAAACATTTCTGCTGCAAACGCAAGTTGATGTTCAATTAATTAATGTATTTAGATTTGTGCATAGAAGAGCATATGCTACCTCATTTCATAAGTGCAATGCTTGTTCAAATAATGGTCTTCAGTCACAAATGCGGTATGACCAATGCAAAAACATGCATTTATTATACAGTCGTTCTTATTTTATCATCACTTCACACAAAAAGGTGCATCCTTTTTAAGTATAATATTTTACTGCATTTCATTCGCTATTTTATTCAAAACCAGCATATCACTTTTTAGATATTTCGTTTCAAAGTTAACTAAATTCGGCATACCTGTGAAAGTAAACTCAATTTTTAGGGTTTAAATTTTGTTTGATAAAGCTGCTTGAGGGGTTTTGTTAACAGCCACTGCAGAACATGATATAAATTTAGTGCCTGATGCGTGGTTCTAACGGTGAATCAAAGAATAACAGTTGATGCGTCCTTCTAGCATCCTAGATATTTTTGAAGATTGATGGTGGTTGAGTTGAATGGGTCGAAGAAGTTAAATCTGACAACATAACCACTTACCACCTTCAACAGTTTGTTGCACACTAACCAGTTTGCTTCAACTGTTCGTATATCTAGAAGCGTGCAATGTCCTTACGTATTTCGATAGTTCATAAGTTATGGGCCACTTTAGAATGTGTAACTGACAATTTTCCATGAATCGTAGTAACTTCGTTTTTCGAGTGAATAATTGCTGTGGTTGACTTATTTGCGCCAAACACTCACTTTATTGCATTCGGATTCTTGTAGTCATTCATCTTATACGAAGCATTACTGTTAGTTGCATTCACCTAATCTTACACAGGTTTCTGACGTTTATTCCCTATGAAACTTCGTTGCCTCTTAGAAACATCAGAACATAGCAGTGAAATGCTGAATCGATTTTTAGTGGTGTTATGCGGTAGTTTCGGGTCAACTGCACGGTAGCAATGACCACCGAAGAGTGCTTGTTGTGAAGCGCTTGAACGACTGGATTGTTGCGAATGGGCGCAAGTCACTTCAAAGTACGAGTAGTCTCAGACCGACGACATCATCATACCTAGTAGAGTTGTTACATGTTGCCTCAAAATTGCAATGTGTTTTGTTTTCGAGACTAATATTACTCGTTGCTTTATTTTTCAGTAAGCAAGTGTGCGCATAGGTGATGGTGTTATGGTGTTTTAGCTCAATTTATCTATTTGAGCTTCGATTTGAATTTGATCTCATCAATGCAAGCTTGTTAAGTTTTCTTATTATTAGAGACGAAGCGTTAGAATGTCCTAGATGATGTTTTTTAAAGGAAACAATTTTTAATGCTTCCAGATAGACGCAGTTAGTGTCTATGCACAACAGTTCGCTTTTTCTTAAAGTTCATAGTGTTGGGGAGGCGTGGAAAAATTGTAGTTCTCAAATTTTATTGTGAGTTTATGAGAAGGAATTATGCGAATTCGATTGCATTGTAACTTGGCTTTCTACCTCAAATACTGTGTTATGCTTAATGGGTTGATTATAAAACGCTTATGAAGACTTGAAAGAATCTTTTTCTACTTTTGGCCCCAATTCCAAAGAGTTACGGTTTTGATGGCAGATCGCTTTCTGTGACTAAGTCCTGATTAATTGGTGGAGGACCCAGAATTTTTATTCGGTAAAACGTTTTCGGGGATCACAGAAGTGCATGCACTGTAACTACCTAGCAAAAAGAAATGTAATTTTTATCTGGAATTAAGAGAACATCTCCATGAGATTTGCATTGCTCATGAATTTGCTTAGATACATACTTAAATTGGATGATTGCACTTTTGTTTGTGGCAGCTAAGCGTTCTATGCTCAACCTGAGGGCGTGATCTTCTGAGATATTTTCAGCGAGTACATTGAATCACTTATTATAGGTGTATTTCAAGAACCCAGTTGGCTTTTTTCGGTTACTTGTTTTTTACACTGTTTCCACGTCGATCTGTGTGTGTTCCATCGCCCATCTTCACCAACAATAGTAGAACTGTGGTTTTTATTCTCCGTACACTTCAGACTGTTGATTACAGAAAAATCGTCGTTATGGCACCATCCAAAAGATGTGTCACTTTGCTGGTGCAAGTTTGCAAACAATGAGCCCCTGTTGAGTTTACAGATAGGTAACCATCACTAAATGCTTGCAGTTCAGTTTCGTGTGGTCGGTGATTGAAGGTGACATTGAGAATGTTGCACGAATCTACATTCTGAAATGGTGATCGAGAAATGATTGTGTTGTGAAGGTTATATGAATGTAATTTTGACTCTACAATCACAGTAATATTAGGTGCAATTCAATACGACGATCATGAAAAGTATTAGTGAGTGATACATACATACACGCTGTCAGTGCTGATCATTTTTAACCAAAATTAGTCGAGTATTGGATTGTTCCCCTCAATTGATTCGTGTTTCAACAGTCAGGTGCTACTTCCGTAGTTGATACGGCCAAAAAATATTGGCATTATGGGAGTAGTTTCAACTTTTATCCTCTTTCCATTTCGCCTCGTACGATTACTATGAGAGGAGACATAATAATTATTTATTGTTTGTTATTTATCAGTGACGTTCAATTTTTCGCTTTGCTTGTTATAATTATATTGCGTGAACTCAATAATGCTAATGCAGAAGATCCGTACACCTTATGCTCATTGATAACATCTCCAGGTATGAGATGATGAAATGAGGAATTCAGTAACAGTAGGCTTAATTTGCTGTACTTGTTCTGTGCTGTTCAGTTGAAGTCATTCAACAGTAGTAGAACATTAAGTGATTTTTCCATTTTTCTCGCGATCAATGTACAAACTTTCATTGGTATAAAGTAACGAAAAGTTACAAAATAATTGAATATATGTATGTGTCTTGTATATATGTGTTGTTTGTAATAGTATAATATTTTATTGTTACGTTGTCATTAATGTTCTTTTCGTTCAATTTATAAGTTAAGCGACCTTTTGTTTTGCCAAATAAATTGTTATCTCCTGATCCTTTTTGTATGCACTCGAATGTGTTCATCATGCAGCTTTATATTATTCCAGTGACAAGCGACAGTTTTCATCAATTGCACGTAATGAGGAGTTACAGTTATGAAGAGCATGATTCTAAAGGGGTTTTTTTGAAAGTCACTTAATCGCTCGTTTTTTTTTTGAAAGTTACGTAGGTTGTTGATTCTCGATGAAAATGCATAGGTTGTTGATTAAACTGTGTAGCGAATGTTATCTTTGCTTCGCCCGAGGAAAAAAACCCCGTTCTGTCGAATATTCCTCCATTTTGAGAATGAAGAGGGATTGGGAGCAGCCGGATTAGAATTATAAGAGGGATATGAAAGTGTTTTTCATCGAAATTCGCATAAAATGATACCAACAGTCTTAGTTTCATGTGCGAGCACACTGTCGTTGATGCATTTTTCTCGGTCGTTTGACCGATACCGTCTTCAACCTCCGTGCAGCTCCTTCCTAATAGATTGCTGTTGTTGTTGACTGTTTCTCGAGAAAACTGATATGAATTCTACTCTTTGTATCCCAGAAAACACTCGAACTGACCTCCCCCCCCCCTTTGATCTCTTTCAGCCCAGTTCTTCCCTTCGGTAGCCATTGTTTGGAGTGAGTTTTGGTTCTTGGTTCGTACTGTCAACTCCAAGTTTCAGTAACGAAAATCGCATCCACCTCGATCAATAAAAAGGTCCATTTTATCTGCCTCGATCTCTGACGAAAACGCTGCTGAATGATTGCTTCCTATTGTTAGAGCTAAACGATCTTCGCGCAACGCTTTTGAGATTCAGCGAACGAGAACTTATTGAGCCCAAGGTTTCCAATCAGAATCTGGAGAGCTGAACTATGGGAAAACCCAACTTCACAAGCAATCTCCTCGACGTTATTCGGTGGTCTTCTACTAAATTCCGTCCCAACCGGAGGTTTTGACAATTTTTTTCCAGTAAGTGGACTCTTCGCCGTCGAGATCATCCTTGACCTCGCTGAATCGTTTGATCCCTGCCAATATAGCACCCCTGGATAGCGGGAAGGCCCTCTAAGCATAGTGTAATGCTCCAGTAATACGACACTCTTTCTACTAAGGTTTTGTTAAGAATTTGATGTTAACTCTTATATCAGATCATATTTCGGGGGTTAAAATACCTTACCAAATGAAGCGCAACCTACTGACTGTAATGATGTAATGACGAAACTCATCATGGGTAGTCGAGACAAAATGCAGATATGTTTAAACATGCTTTGGTTTTCGTGACTGGACATGGCCGGAATCGACAGTAGGGTTTGCACGGGATCCCGGGATTACAGTTCTGATCCCGATCCCGGAATTTAAGTTTTGAAAATCCCGGGATTTCGGGATTTCATAAAACAGGTCAATTTGTGTGAATTTTGATAGTATAACCATCTTGAAGCAAGCCTTAATCATTCCCATCTAATCTATATGCAGTTATCTTTGCTGTTTGCCCCCTATCATTGATGTTCAGCTAACAATAAGGAAATAGACGCAATTCGGACGAATGACATGATCAGCGACAGCTCGATGAACTTTTACGTAACATTTCATTGAATATTCAACTGATTATTCTGCTCTCCATTGGTTTATATCACGCTCATCTGCATGCATTTCTATGTAATAGACTAACAGAGATCATCACATTTTCTAATAAAAACCAAGAACAACAAAGTTCAATGGAATTTTGAGTCGTTTCCTCCCACAAGATTTGTTCGGCTTCAATATTCCATCTGTTAATTCAACTGCATGTTCCAAAGACTGCAAGTCTTTTTACTTCGCTATTTGGAAACGTTTTCATCCGATCGAAATGTACATAAATTCTCACTGAGTTCATTCATAGTGATAGTTCATTGCCGAAGTGAGCAAAGTTGTTCCATTCAGAAGGATCTTATGCTTGAATATCACGTACATTTTCATGATCTTTGATCGTAATTATCAAATATGTAAGTGCTCGATGGTTCGATGAAAATCCATTGCGATTTTTACCTTTTTAGATAAACTTCGAACTTTTAATTATTTCAAAATTCAAATGATATTATTCATGCGATGCACTTTTTTTCGTAAAAAATCGAAATTTCCGAAACGGTAGAATTCGGCTGACGTCAATACTGAGGGAAAATGGACCTGAAGCATTGCAAATAAGTGTTTGAGAATCAAGAATTTCATATTCACATGCAAGTGTACTGTTATTAGCTTAGACACGAGATGACAAGATGCCTTAGCATAGAATATGCAGTATGCCCTTGCGGCATGATCATTAGCAAGATTATATGAAATATTAATTTGAATTTAAATAATTTGGTTCCTCGAATTTGTTCAATAATTTGTTGAATCAACTCCTTTCTGATTAATAATGATCATATCGGTTCGAAAAAATGTGTTTAAACATGTCCCGCATCGATATTTCAATAATTGTTCGGTTCCGGGATAATCCCCGAATCAAAAATCGATCTCAGGGTTGAAAAGACGTCGGGCAAAAATCGATCCCGGGATTAAATCCCGATCCCGGGATTGAAAAAACGTCGGGATTTTACAAACCCTAATCGGCAGCATCAGTCAGTCTTAAAATTTTTTGACTGATACACGCATTATCAGTATAAATTTGAATGTTCCTCATTTTGTCATCTACAAAATTTGGTGTAATCAAATGAAATAATTTTATTCATTCAGATTCAGTGCAAAATGTCTACCAGTTTTTTACTTCTTCGAGGCGAGACTAAAAACATAACAACAAAAATTGCGCAGTTTTCGAATGACTTCGTCCCGATACTTCGAATTACCTCGACATTTCAAAATGAGCGAACATGCATATGGAATATGATTGTGTTAAATTTACTCTCCATTATATGCTGGCTTTCTTGGCAAATTGAGCCCAATGTTGAACGGTTTGACGGCCGAGGCCCAACACAATTGAACGTGGTTCTTGTATTGGTTGATTGTGAGTGCAGTGCGCTTCAATGTTTGATTGTTCCTCTTCTTCATCGCTGCTTTCACGCCAACCCTCGCTACTGTCATACGAAGGATTGACACGCACCATGAATTCGCATAGTTGTTCGAAGTCGCGACTCTGCATTTGCAGGCTGTTGCGTACGAAATTACCGTCAGATGTGATTCTCCCTGATCGTGTCGACATACGATTTGCTCTTGCATTCGCTCCCACTGATCGCCTAAACAAAAATTGTTGCAGCCACAGTAAGTGAATCAATCCGTTCGTGCTGTATTTCTGAAGTGTTCAAAATACTCGTTCTCCGTCAGAAGAATTGAAAGAAGTGATTAAGTAATCAAAACTAACGCTGATGCATTCAACCGACGTCCACCAACAAAACCCATTTGTTTTCGCTTTTTGCTGATGATATAGCGAAGTGTAGCACACGTCAACCAATTGCGATATGACATTCGCATACGTTCGTTGAAGTAAGCATAGATGAATGGATTACACATATGATTGCACAACCAAACCTATGCAAATCACTCTGATTTGAATGCATCTAATTCCAATTTCCAACTTTTGCTTCGCATCTCGAAATCTGATCAAAATTGGCAGCAGCAACTTTTTTGAGCATTCGTCCGAACGAATCGCAGTGATACTACTGGTTATGCATTCAACTATAAGTAATTATTCTCAATGCAATAATGCCGGTTACAAAAGTACCCATTTTGTAGTATTATCAGAAATAAAAAGGAAACAACTTACTATATGTAGAAGAACAAATTGCCATTCAGTTAACAAATGAATCAAAAACGGTTTCGTGAAATACACCACCGATGAGACTGTACATATCAGGGATGGATAGAAGAACTGAAACGTCAGGCGAGCCTGCAGTGAAATAGTTACGGTTATTTTGCATGTACAATCAACATGTTGTTTGACAGATAACTGATAATATTGCTGGCATTTGATGACTTCTTCTTATAAGTTATTTGCTGGACAAGATCTTGAAGATACGTTATTTAAGGAAATATACGTGTTTTGAAAAAGTTTCTCAAAACACGAATACAGAATAAACGGATTAACGACTTGAAAAATGATGCTTTTATTAAGAAGTTCAATAATCGTCAAATAAGCAAAGGCTTTGATCATAAAAAAGTCGAAATCATATGCTTGTTAACATCAATCATACTGCACTGGAAGTGTATGATATCCCTTCATGTCAACAATAATGCTTGAATTATTGTCCAAAATGCTTCATTGCCTCGACTTTACGGTGGCGTTCGTTTGTCGTCTCTCATTTCAGTGCTTTTCCGGTATGCATTATATTCAATAAAACCGCTCAAAATCAACTATTATGTGAATCATCTTTAGCAAAAATTTCCAAGATGCGAATTTCAAATTTTGTAGTTTATTTGCAAAATGGTTGTACGAATTCTTTTACAGCCTAAGCGCAGTGATAAGCGTTGCTTTCAACTTTAAAACTGGGCAAGTTTTTATTCAAAAATGCATCAGGCAAGAAACAATATGATCTAGCAACCTTTTCAAGCAATGTTTTCAAAGTGAACTTTTGGAGTTGTTTCCGAGCTGTAAGGTATCGTTAGGCTTAGGCTTGAGATGTGCGCATTTCGGAATTTCACTTTCAAGTAAACAAATAATTGTGATCCTGATACAAATGATTTATTATGTGTATGATATTTAACATATATGATCAGAGATAAGCAGTAGCACGCCATTCCGTTACTAGCGGAATGGCGACAATAGCCATTGAGCATTTTTTTTTCAGAGGTACTAACGTTCGCTACTATGTTTGGTCAGCGCTTCAGCGATAGCGCTTCGCTACTTTTTTGGTGATAATAGCCATGCAGCATTTTTTTCAGCAGACCAAACATTTTTTATCAGCGAATTAGCGGTAGCGGCACTATTGTTTTTCAGTAGCATGTCCATCGGTGTGTGCTATTTGCACACATAATAAATGTCCTTTTAAGTAACGTATTACTTGACAGTTACGAAATCAAACGTTAAGATCAGCTAGTGGTAATGTGTCTGTCACTAAATACGTACAGAATGTCAGCAAAAATATTCATCAAGATGCTTTTAGACCGACCACACGAACGTAAATTGAATTTCTCGTTCAATCAAGAAATAATGTCAAAAAACGAAGACCTGTTTCCTGAAGCGATTAGCACTGTTCACATTCAATTTATTCTTGCTGATTTTTTGACGCACTTGTCGAATTTTCTTCAAAACGAGGGCTGAACATAGCCACTGGGCAACTACACTGACAAAGTTGAATATCGATGCAACTGTCATGAATGCTACTGCAAACAGACGATTATTTATACGTTTTGATCTGTGTAAACCGGTCAGTTCATGATGTACAATCCTTTTTTGCAAACAGATTTGATTCATACGTTCCATATGATTGGAACTAATGTAAAAACACCCTCATAAATTGCCTCTTCTGATCATAGGCAAATTGGTAATTTTCAAGTTCTTCAAACTAACTTGCAATAAGCCTTCATCGGAATTGTACCTGTGACCAGCAAAAAACATTGTCAACTGTATGTGTAAGAGAGGGACAGTTCCATTTGACTGGGAAAGTGGTTGAAAAGTGACGTTTAGCACTTCGAAATATCGTATGCATGAATTATAAGCTCAAATGAATTTCAAGAAGTAGTGGTTTGTGTGATTAAGGCAAATATTGCGTGTTTTTTTTTTGTTTGCCACGGTCATAATTTGACTATAGATTAAACAAAGTTGATATATGACGTTCATATTTTCAGTCGAAACAACATGCAAATATTCATGCAAGGTTCCGATTGCTTTTTGTTACGGACTCACATGAACAAAGGTCATGAGTGGGATTAATTGCGGTAAATGATTCAATTTAGGATGCAGTTATGGAAGGCGTAACAAGAGATCACTGGTGCCGGAACGTTCAGTTGAAAATTTTACACCCTACTCTGTAATTATGTCTCATAAAGTTGCTCCCACTTTGCGGTGTTGACATATGAAGTAAAATTGGATTTATTTCGAGAGTGTTGACATATGGACATGGCTATGCAAAGACGACATCGCATTCCATCTCTTAACGCAGGGTTTCAAATAAGGTTTTTTTTAAAAATACAATAAAGCTGGCGAGGATGGAGGTCAACGCATGCATGTGTGTTAAGTAGGCGATAGTGGACTTTAACGTATATGTTTTTGAAAAGACTAAAGCGTACTCTAATGGTATCCACTTATCTACATTAAAAACACTCACTAGGTGGATGAGAGATACAGAGTGGATTTTGTGAGGGGTACGAGGATACATTAAAATTTTTCAGGGAGCGCGGAGAGGAAAAATGGTTGACACCAACTGTCTTGAAGGATACACGACGTACCTGGTCTTTTGCCGTTTGTTTGAAGAAAACTGACTGTCCACATATCTCTTCTAATACCCATTAGAGGATCCGGTATTGTTCCAATGCATGCTGTAAAATACTTTGCTTTAACTAATCGCAATGAACATATATCGACTCAATTTTTATCCGACACAACATACAAAAGACTCGTATTCAGATGAAACGTTTAACTCACAATTTAAACTAACATACAGACATTGGCTTCTCATTGATGAGATTTCAACCAGTTCAAGCGCAGACGATTATAGTTCTGAATAGGGTCTTTTTCACACCCTCGGAAATGAGCGCGTTAGAAATTATAGCAAGACTTGTTATATTGCTGATAGAGAAGCATCACCTGACCTCATGACGTGAATAAATCTTTTTCTCGCAGTTTCGATTACTTTTCGGTGTGTGCTTATTTTTAGGAGCCTTATTCTCACTTATGGAACAGACTTACACGAATATCCTATGTAATCATAGTGGTACTGAAAAGCTAAGCAATCGAAGTTTCAGAAATTGGACCATTTATTGCTGCAAAGATCATTCTCATGCAGACTTGTAGGAACATACCGTGACCGATCAGTCTGCTTAAAGACATTTTGTCTAACAATAGTTTGCCTAAAGACACATTTCCTAATGGATAATTTGCCTAACGGACAATTTGCCTAATGGACAATTTGCCTAATGGACAATTTGCCTAACGGACAGTTTGCCCAAGGAACAGTTTGCCTATTAGGCAAACTGTAAATTGTCCTTAGGCAAATTGCCCGTTAGGCAAACTGTATCCATTAAAAATATCCATTAAAAAACCGTAACTCAGGCAAACTGTCCGTTAGGCAAACTGTCGTTAGTTAAACTGTTTGTTAGACAATGCGTCTTTAGGCAAACTGTCGTTAGTTAAACTGTTTGTTAGTCAGTGCGTCTTTAGGCAAACTGCCGTTAGGCAAAATGTTTTTAGGCAGATTGACCGGGCACCTAAACATACGATTGCTTATATCGATCACTATTGATGAGTTAATATTTTGATGAGTCAGTGACCACTTGCACTTGGTCAAGACTGAATGAATTGTATGATAATAACTACGGCCAAAAATGCAATCGCCATCAGTGGGAGGAAGTCATGACCCAAATGAAGCAATCATATAATTCTTTTCACTTGACTTTAGTGAGAAGCGACGCCTTGAACCACTGAAACTGCTGACTGTCTAGCAAAACCCGATACTAGCGATCGGATATATCGCTAGTAGTCATTGCTGTCCTATATGAACACACCACTGCATCAATTCGGAATGGCCCAAGATGCCCACCATCACGCTCTAGCTCTGAGTGATAACTTTGAAAGTGTTGATTGACTTTTTTATTTTCTCTTATAAAAATGCAATTTTACATCGTATCTTTTGATAATCGAACTTCATCGGGATGCTGGAGATTGGGATCCCGAAATTTCATTTTTGAGTTTCTTGAACCTTCACTGTTCATCAGCACTTCAGAAACCCTGTTTTCAAAAAATTGATCTATAATAAGGCCCGAGAAATCTTAAAATTTGAACGGTCGGAATCTTGGAGGATTCTGAAAATTGAGCGTTTTCAGAAACAATGAATAGCGTATTTGATCGGCTTGCTTTCATGTTCCACTTGAAGAAGATACGGTAGTACTGGAGAAAAATGACTGAATTTGGCGTAACCATTCAAACGAAATTCAGCTGTTCCAAATTCATTTTGCTCGGATGATAGCGACGCTCTTGAACGATTTCATTTCAGAATCGCAGAAGACGATCAAAGAATTTCCAACTGACTACAGTTCACCACTATTTTCAAATGTGTTTTGATCATCATACAAAGCAAGGATTCGAGAATTTTCCGATTTCCGAATATTTTGAGCAAAATTCCATTTCTGATCACTCAATAAAATATGCATTCACTCCACTAAAATCTCGTGACTACAATGATGTCAATTTCAGGCCTTCATACAGTCACAGAAAAAACATCGTTTAAGTTGAGAAATAATTGCTTAATTATGGGATGATTTAGAAAGTTATTTTAAAAACCGTTTAAATTTTAAACGATTTAGGAAGTGATGCAAAAATCGGTTTCTGTTAAAAATTTTCACATGTAATTTATAAACGAAAGCGTTGGGGCGTTCCATAATAGGACATGCACACTGATGGCAACCTGCTGATCTCATGCTTACCGTTAGACTTAGAATGAGTCTTACTCTTCAGCTTAGTCCATGCTCAGGTGTGAAGCGGTTGAAACTTTTAGTACAATAAAATTCATCTCTCAGAGTTTTTGCTTTGTCTGTATTTTTAAAAGCCAATTGATGTTTTCGATCTTATTTCAAGCATTAGAATAATGCACTGGATTTTTCTTATATGGAAAAATTAGCCCTCACCCGATCATACGATATTCCGTGTAAGTTTCTGAGACGATGAAGTAGAAAAGTACTAAGTGTAATTGCTAGAAAAATTTGCTACAAAACGTGCAACAGATGAAAAGCTTGTACAACGAATTTTGTCATGGAAAAACACAGGTGAATTTCGTTCACTCACAAGCCTAGTCCTAAGCCTGAACCTGAAAGTGTACTTGAAACTCATCCTGAGCCTCATCACAGCAAGCGGCACCGAGAACGTTTGTACACTTGAACGAGTTGCATCGTTATACGCCTTTTGTTGCGAATTGTTGCAGCACCGAACCATCAGCATATCATCGTTTAATGTAAGCAATTCAAGAGGTTCGATGCCAAAAGATGAACGATTCAAGAGGCTCGAAATTCTTATCGTTTGATTATGAAATGATTTTAAAATCTCGATTTAACCGCTTTCAAAACGATAGTTATCGGTTCACGATATCGTTTCCCCTCATATCTTTCAACTCTTTGAAATTCTTCTCTCTCGAAGCAATTGGTTCATAAAATTGCAGTCGAATCAAATATTTGATTTCGAAGTTAAGCTAAGATGCAATGAGATTATATATTGTGGCTGTTGATTTGCCCACAGGGCAGACTAGAAGAAAATTGATGTTGTTGCGCATTAGCGTTGCAAAGTGAACTTTTAGTAGTTTCCTATGTGCAATGAAAAGAAAAAAGGATTCGAACATTGTCTAATGAACGTGTAATCAAACTGAAAAGTTTTTGCTTTTAATGAAGCAGTTGAAAAATTCATTAACAAACCCGTGATTATACCAATCAACCATGTGATGATTGATCCAAATATTGCCACTGATACGCGATTCAAACTTTTCGCTTTTGTTCCATAAAAACATATTGCGACACATCGATTAAGTCCCAGAAACGCGTAACTAACCATACCCGCTGTCCATGCAGCAATTTGAAGCAACGATAATGCTATTATAAGAGCATCATTATTATGTTTGTGCTCATCGATATAGAAAGAATCGTTATAAAACTCTCTCAAATTAATGCCGAATTCATTATTAGTATTTAACAAGTGATGCCGTCGTTGTAGGAGATGCGGAAAAAAAGCTTTCGAGACAGAAAGTTTATGATTAGCGATTTGTATGACATGTTGAGTAGAAAGACCTTCGCTCTCAATCGAAGTTGACGAGTTCAGTGCATCTTGAATATTCATAGGAATAATTTTTGATGACAACTTAATTAGAGAACCACCACAAATAACACCAGCAACGAGCATCATAACTGTATCAGCAAATGCCAAGTTGGCCATTAATGTGTACGCAGATAAACGATAAACACGATTTGTTGCTATCATTAATACTGTTGCTAAATTCAAAATAAATCCAATTATACCAATCACTATATACATGCCACCAATTAATACTGACACGTATTCACTGGCCATTTGCTGCGATAATGCTAACAGATCTCAAATATTTTCATTATACATCACATTGATTAATGATGTTAGCCTGAAATTATCTTGAATTAACACACCAGCAAACGTTAATCGTTTCGCGTTCGGTGAATCCTACGAGAATTAATGTGAATCAGAACCGAGTTCAATTACCTGCAGAAGAATTCACATTTTCACTTCACATCTAATTAGTCTGCATAAATATCGCATTTGAGAAACACATAATTCTTTACATTGCTATATCTACGTTTAACGAAGCATTTTCAAAGAGAAGATTTTGTTTGGATGTTAAAGAGATACGCAAGTTATAGCAAAATAATTTTTTCGTTTCACACCCAATAAGAAAATGAAGGTGACATTCTCTTTTCAGATTAGTGATTGGTAACGAGACTCGAGTATCTCTGATCATCTGAGAATCTAAAACAATCTAAAGAATGACAACACACACAGTCTAAGAATGTGAGGAATCCAAGAATCTAACAATAAGATGTTTGAGAAAAACCTAAGGGTCAGAGAAAAAACGACGTTTAAGGAAAAAGGCTGAAAGTATATCATGTTCTGGTTTGTGAAAAGGATTTTTTTTTGGTTGATTTCGTACGGAAATGTGAAATTTTAAATGCCGAGAGCTATCGAGATATTGTTCGTAAACGCGACCAAAAACAAAATCCATGGAAGAAGGTATGAAAGAATGTACATACACTGCCTTTGCAGTCCATTAAAGACGGACTTTCGAAAGTTGCTACGAAATGTGGAAAGTGCTCTTATAATAACGGTGACGGATATTGTGTTCGAAAGCAGACGGAGGCATGCTCTCTCTTAAAATGATAAAATTATCTAGTTACAATTTGTGGATACTTGCTCAATGCTTCCAACATAGCATGTTCTTTATGAGGGTCAAAGTGCGTGACTATGACTAGTCGTAACGATCATAGGATCGCGCAAATTGAGATAGCATTTTATTGAATGAGCTTGCTGTTTTAACAAATGTCTAGGATAATTTTAAAATTGCACCAGCAAGTCCTTCTTGAGAGGCCCTTCGCAAGAATGAAGGCTTCATCATTATCCGTTTTATATGCACATTGTATGCTCACTGCGAATTAATGATCATTGCTGCAGTAAGTCAAGCCGTTCTTATTTCATCAGATCTAAGAAAAAATCGTGCTACTTTTGGATTACGTTCGCAAGGTATCAACACAACACATGCAAAATATTAAGGTGCATTTGCATCTGTTTCTTTATTGGTAACAAAGTGCGAATAATTCTTGGCTAATGTATTGAATAAATTTCTGATTGACTGAAATGAATCTATTTTTGATGCGATATGAAGGTCTAAATGGAATAGTATGACAAAAAAACGAAATGAGCAATCATACTGAGACAAGTAATAGATCGTGAAATTCGAATTGAGGGAGATAATTACTGTTTATATTACATTAAAATATTACAAAAACAATGAACATTCAAGTCATTTAAAACTAAACCTATCTTATAACTGAACTTTTGTCTACAGATTATTCCTTATAAAAATATCAAAATTGTTGAAGATGAATGATGATTGCCTACGGATTATTCCTTATGAATATCAATTTCTGTTGATAAGAAGATGCCAGATGGATGCAATATGTATGGAAAGAAATGAGCATTCAAAAAGAAATAAGTGATAGGAATTTGTGAGATGATAGCATAAACCAGATGAAAATCCGGTGAGAGTTTTATCGAGTAACGCTATCAAATGTTCAGAACATACACCAGTCAATTAATGCCAATATATATGAAGCTTGCGGCTTCCTGTGTGCTTAGAACGATTCGAGCATGAGCGGATAGATGCAATGAATCGAGTCGGCAAAATGTCATCTCATCGCTCGGCATTGTTAACATTCAATGGATGCAAACTATTCACCGTTGCAGTAATATGACGGACTCTTCCAGAGAATGTCACAGTCGGTAGTGTAATTGAGCTTGTCTTGCATTTATTCGTTATTCGATGTGCGCACACACTTCTTAAGCTCTATCTGGAGTAATGTAGAGAAGATAAAAATTTCATCATGAAGAGCTCTTCAAAATTGAGGAATGAACACAAAACAATGCTTGATGCCTTTAGTGTGCTTAAAAATTACGAATGCAGTTTATTTTAAGAACGTCTAGGTATACCAATCATAAGTTGAACATTTGTAACGACGCGAAATTCGAATACTGATTAGCAGTAGATCGCATTTGATGTTGCGGTTCCGTTCAGAATCGAATCTTTTAGGCGAAAGCATTTGATGATGCAGTGAATTATAATTGAACGCTTATATAGAAGCAAAACGACGATTGCTGATGAGGAATGATTTGTATTAACTGAACAATCGCCTTAAAAAAATTGACATGCAATTTATTCAGTGAATTTATCATGAGAATGGTGTTTCGAAATCGTAATCAAACGATGCCATGAGCGAATGATTTTACGTCTTTGTAGGGCAAATTCAAAACGTGCGAGACTCTTATCAGTTTACCCGAATTTCAATCGCGTACAACGTAGCAAAATGTCATTTAAGCGCTGGAACCTTTTCAATGGGCAAACAAATCAGAAGTTCGTTTTCAAATCTTCAATGTCTGATCGGTGAAAAATAGAATAAAATTTGGATTTGTGGGTTAATTTGCATAAATCTTTATGACGTTCATGTCTTAAAAGTGCGATGAAGGAATGAATTTGAAGTTGATTGTTTTAATTATTGTTCCGAGTGCTTTCTTAAGCTGTATTCAACGAAAAGCAGATGAATTCTGACGTTACCCTTTCAAAAAAGCAGGTAAGTATGCCGCAGTTGTGACTGTTATCAATTATATTTCAAGCTACCCAAACCGCTATACCAGTGGTCTCCACACTCGAGCGTTCCATCCATCCCCTTCGATAGTCTGACAGGCCGTCATAACCTCCTGCGCTAAATAATATCATTCCTGATTGTTCATTCCGATCCTAAAGTTATCTAGTGAAAAGTTTTCAAAGGAATCAGTTGCAGGTCATTCATCCAAAACTGTCGCCCAATGAATAAGGAATAAACAAAAATATGTTTGGTGGATGATTTGACATGTAGAAAGAACTGAGTCCTAAGGAGAAACGCCGATCCGTTGATATTATCTGATGAAGCAGAGCGGTGTCGATGAGCCAGCATTCGAGAAGTGCTGATCTGATTTCATCAATCTCACATGAGAAATCATCAAATTCAATCATCGCATGTGACAAGAGCAAAATGAATGTTGATTTCATACACTGCAGTTTGGCCAGTGGTTAATGTTCATTACTTTTCATAAACAAAATTTCGAGCGTAATTTTTCGATAGCGATAGTTAACAGAATAAAATTAAATGGAGCAGTTAGATGCATTCTCGCTCATTCCATATATCGAATGAAAACGCATTCGTTTGTCAATTAATCACTATTATCCATGTGGTTTTTTTGAATAGTGCCATCCAGTTAAATTCGTTCATAAACCAGTAAGACTACTGTGAATTGACTGCGCAGTACTGGTGCAGCCGATGGAATAAATTTGAAATTGAAAAGCACTAGCCTTGGATACTCATTCATCAATATTTTTGTTCCATTACATACAGCCTCAACCACTGAACACAGCAAACAATATGAAATAGTTGAGTTAAATTAATTCTTAAACTCAGGTGTCATTCTCTAGTCGAT